ATTCCATTCCATTCCATTCTATTCTATTCTATTCTATTCTATTCTATACCCATAATTGTCTTTCCTTCATTTTCAGAATAAGGTTGAGTCTGCAGAAATAACCCAGATAGATATCGACAATACAAGGGCTCTCTACATTCCTGTGGCTAACAGAGCTCAAATTTTGTTTTTCTGTTTGGCTGATCTGCCCAATGTTGATCCAATGTATCAATATTCTTTGGAATGGTTCATTTCAATATTCATATCGAGCATGGCGGAAACGGAAAAATCTGGTAAGTTACAACTTTGAGAATAGCGATCTTTCGAATGGAAAATATATTTTTCAGACTGAGTGGGTTGAAAATAATGACACAATAATTTAAATGCCAAACGTATTTAACATCGACACTTCTGTTCTTCCTCGAAGGATGCTGAACCACATCTCATGCGTTTACATATAATATAATCGAATAGAATAGAATGGAATGGAATTTGATGTATTGGTGCGCCATCAAGCTGATACCATAGGTTGTATTTAATATTTAAAAGCATATTATCTAAAAGTTCACTAACCTCATTATTCAAAAGGTTGAGATAACCGACGGATGTATAGAATTCCCATAACAACAATGTTGAAATTTAAAAAAAATGTTAAAAATAATATTGGGGTTTCACACACCACACGTGTCGTGTGTTATAGAAGTCCACTTGTCGAACGCAGGGTTAAGTTGATTATATTGAAAATTTTCCTTAGTCAGCATATCCAAAAGTTAGTGTTGAGGTTCATAATATGTAATCTTCGACTGACCGTTTGGCGGGAGTTGGTCATTTTTCGATTGATTATGGGTTTCCATATGTCTCGAATCACTACGCTAGCTTGGCTGAATACGTTGTTGGATAACAAATATCCTGAACCAGTGTTCCTCATTGTGTATGATCTCAGCTTGGGACCACTCGATGTTATGTTGATGATTCCAAACATGTTCTGCTATTCCTGATTTGCAGGTTTCCCCTCGCTGTGTGTGTTTTTTATGCGGACTTTCAATCAGATCCGGAAACACTATCCGTAGCAAGCGGAAAATGGCCAACTCCCGCCAAATAGTCATCTCCCGCTGAATTGGTGAAGCCAAGGGAGGGAAGAGGAGATAAGTGAAAGTACACGAATGACCCGTAAATAGTCATCGCTGGGAGAAATTAGTCCAGTCATTATCCGAAGACGATTGTGGATACTAACAATCGAAACGTCGTGAAGAAATTTGGTTGAAATCTCTTAATTTCAATTTTTATTTCCTTTTTTTTTGTCTAATTGTTCTTTTTGTTACTGGTATTTTATTCCACTGATTTCATTTCAGAGTTTTTTGCTCAATATAATTGTTATTTTCGGCTATTCATTTCAATTTTCGATTGCATTGGTTCTTTCAGGGATTTCAAATCATTTTATATAATATTAGACAATGGAAGTCCGAACTAATGAAATTCGACAAGTTCACAGTTATAAGATTCTAACAATGTTTTGAAGTAAAAAAAAAGTTTCTGTCATCTTATCTTTTTTTGCCGAGACGTTTGAAAGATATACTTTTATCTTACCGTTTTGGAGCATACAACCCAACCCAATCTACCAGTAACAACATTAACCCTGCGTCCGACACGTGGGGTGTGACATACGCCAGCCGTAGAAAATTCCATTTTCGAAATTGGCGACCCAGCCTGATGTCCTGTTACTTTTTTTTATGATTTTCGATAATATTTTTTTTATTTCCATTTTATGATGTTTCACCAGCATTTTGATATTTATTTAGTTGTTTTATGTGCAAAAGACTTCTTCGAGTAAATCTGTATTTTTTTCCACTAAAAGAACCCATTGTTTTGGTAAAGACGGAATATAACGATTTTTTGCTCGTTTTGGTAAATCGAAAATTATTCTATAGCAAAAAGAGGTATTACAATATAGAATTCTCTTAACAACAATGTTAAAATTTAAAAAAAATGTTGAAAATCATATTGGGGTCTCACACACCCTACGTGTCTACAAATGTTACAGAAGTCCACATGTCGAACGCAGGGTTAAGTTGATTATATTGAAAATTTTCCTTAGTCAGCATATCCAAAAGTTAGTGTTGAGGTTCATAATATGTAATTTTCGACTTCAGAACATTTCATTTCTAGAATCTAGAATACTCTAATAAAGTCTAACCATGTTTCACATAATACTCAATGAGCTTTGATGTAACAGGAATTGGCAAACCCGGCACCAAGTTGGTTGTCCAGTAAAGCGTGGAATGAAATATTGGCTTTGGCTGAATTAGCTAGTTTCCAGAAATTTGTGACAACGTTTGCAGAGAACGTGTTACATTACAAGAGAATTTTCGAAAGTCAAGAACCTCACAGGTACTGTATGATGTGAAGCAAAGAATTATCTAAATAATAAATTGATGGATTAGCCATTGCTACGTGGACATGGAAGGAGTATTCGTTTGAAAATGTCCTTGTAGGACATTTTCGTTTGGAAATATCCTACAAGAACATTTTCAAACGAATACTCTACTTCCTCCGCAATGCACAATGGTTAGTCGCGATCCTTTGTTTGCAGGCACGTTAGGCGTACACATTCTCGAACCATCAGTTTACCCTTTCGTAACCGTGTCGTGTCATACCAAGTTTCGCCCAAATAGAAAATTTGCCGTTGTTCTTGTCTATATTCAATTAGTTGTACTAAGTATTTGTTGAGCAATTCCACTATTCTTCTGCTTTCCATAACTGCTTGACGTTTGTTTATTATTTTGAATCTAAATCCTAGTTTCTTTATCCAATTCTGAAGAGTTTCGTGACAGCAGCTCACGTTATGACCGGAAGTATTCAATTTTCTTCCTTATGATTTCAGTTGTAGGAATCTCATTGCTTTTGTAACAGTCGTATATTGTTTTTTTAGATGAATATCTGAAGGTTTTGGTAATCCTGTATCACATCGCGTCTTGCGTTTATAAGGGATGTTTTTGACTATTTTACGTACAGTTGAGAAAGGAATTTCGGTCAAATGTCATGTTGCTTATAATAGTTTATTTCCCTCGAAACCAAACTTGAGATGTAGATTCTTATATACATTGAAATATACTCTCTGTGTTTCAATATTCAAATGCATTCGAATCTTATTCACTGGTATCTCTTTTTCGCATTGTTCACCATCGCTATTGGAATCACTACACTGGAAAAAGTCTGCGTTGTTATCACACTCGTTATTACAATTAGTACTTGTCCAAGGACGCCACATTTTAAACAGATAACAAAAATTTCAAGTAATTATAACTGCACCAATATCGAATTCCAACACTCAAATCGTGATCATTTCCTGAACTGAACATTGATGACACGACAAAGATAACCATCCTCGCATTTCCCGATATATATTCGTCACCGTAACATGACTTAAAATTTAATTTTATGACTCTTTAGCCAATCATAAAACTTGGTTAGTAAAAATTATCCAATACGAACCGCCAATTCTACTGTCCACGTGGATTAGTTGACAATCGGTTTATTTCTATGTATTGGTTTTTTTGAACTTTGAGAGTGCCGTCAACTTTAAATGTGCACAATATCGTTTATTTCGACTATATTGAACGTTTCAGAAGTCAATCAGCGTTATTAACATATCGTACGTTTTGACACTCGTTTGAGATCAATTGAGGAACTTTGAAAATGAAGCAAACCGAAGAAAAAAAGGTGGAAGATACATTGAATGTTTGCAGTTCTCCATACAGAGAGATTGTCCGGCAGGAAAAATTACTATTTGCTATTATCATTTAGCCTACTGTAGTTTTTTCTGTCTATTAGGCAATTAGAAGTCAAACCATAATTTTTTCAGGTTTCCCTTACCGGCGAGTCTGAAAACGTTGACGCCGTTCCAAAAAATCGTAGTCCTGAAAAGTTTACGGCCAGACAAGGTTACGAACGCGATGCAAGATTTCCTTTCTGAAAAATTAGGCCAACAATTCATAGAACCTCAGACTTCGGACTTGTCGGCTATGTTCAAGGAATCAGGACCAACAGTACCGCTTATATTCGTCCTTTCGACGGGTACGGATCCTGCTGCGGAACTATACAAATTCGCCGATAGGATGAAGTTCACCAAAAGGATGTTCTCAATATCCTTAGGACAGGGTCAAGGACCTAGAGCTGAGAAAATGATCCAGAGCGGTGTGGAAGTTGGCTCTTGGGTATTTTTCCAGGTATCTGTATTTAGTTTCATTTTCCAGCAATGTAGCATAGAACTTTTGTAATATCTCTTTCACTCAGGGCATACGATTATCCGACTCAATAACCGTTAACCTCGTGATTATGGACAGTAGTCATTGGTCATTGGTTAACGATGCTGGGGAATGCTTTCGAAATGGGCCGGTGCTTCGGGTACGAAGCATGACCAGTAGCCCCTTTTTAAATGATAATAATGTCCATTGATCCTATAATACCTAGCGAAAGCTAGGAATGGTAATATTCATTCTAACTTCGGGAAGAGACAGATTTCTTCAATTCAGATTTTTAAACGCCGGATCTGTCTCTCATACAATGTAAAATTATGGCCGAGGGACGGAGAGTGTTTTATATAAACACTATTCATCGGCGTGTTTTGAAACGATGCACGGTCAGATATATTTGTCACGTAGCTCAGGATGTAAATATGGGCATATCAATATCCCAGCATTGAAAGTTTTGTCAATTCAGCGATATAGATTTTCGGGTGACATTCGTCACACGTGGGCGACTGTTGGTTTGCTGGCTTTTTGAAAGGTAGAGAAGACAGAAGGTTTGGGAAAGTCTTCCGGACACAAGAGCCCGTAAAGGCGAGTTCTGGGGTGTCATACCTCAGCCTTCGAAGCTGAGGATAGTGGCTTGAATAGGAAAGATAGTTTGTTTCTAAGCGCGGAGTGCGAAATATAAGAAAAATCAGTAGCGAAATTGTAAGACGGTATTGGGTACAGCAAGTATAAAATAAAAGTGTTAGTGTTGAAGACACATCATGCCAATGAAACTTATAGTTAACCATGAGGCGTTATGTAAGTTTTTTTTACATACTAACTAGTTGATACTAAGAGAGAGTTCACGTATTATTTTTTCTGAGTACACTTCCTATTTGCAAAGAAGTTATATTGTTGGGTTCCTAGCTAGAGTTCAGATTTCAATTAAAAGAAAGCAAATTTAAGGTTATACACCACTCTCTCTAGATTTGAAGTGAAGCTAAAAGTATTTTGTACTGAGTTTTGTTCAAAATACGGCACGACTAGCCTATCGAGGTGGATCTGAAGCTGCTGCTTCGCCACCTCGCTCGAGAAAGAGTGCGCGTAAATCGCAAGGAACCGGCAAGGAACCTGCAAGGAACCGGCTGCCCCTGCTGGAAAGCTCCCTCACTTGTGCACGTCCACGGAGGGAACCCCAAGAAGGTTGAAGAAGCCGCGCAACGACAGTAATATCGCTGCACCTTAGTTATTTATTTGTAAATACACTCTGTATCTATATTCCTATATGAATGCCATGCGCATTTATTAGTTTTTGGTTTTGGGTATCGAGGAGTTGGTATTTTAATGTTCAATAAACAGGTTGTTAAAACGTAGTAAATTCTTTCATACAAAACCCACGATAAAAAGTACCGTACATCACAACCATCCAAAACCTTCGTGGAGGCCACCGTGAGACCCCTCAAAGTTGCCAAATAGAGTGTGTTTTAGGCTAGTCTTGGCCTACACCTGCCAATATAAAGGAGATGTCTCCGAGTGACCTGTTCACCTTCCTGGAAAGGACAGGATGGACGATGAACTAGGAGGACAACTCCTCGGGAGGATATACAATGGGTCACATGTGGTCTAAGTGCTATGAGTCTACACTAATCCTCCCGACTCTACAGATACCAGATTGTTGCCTCACAATTGCTATTTATCAATTCCTAGATAGTAATATTCCAACATTCGACACTGTCAGTCATGAAAATTTTCATCAAATTGGTTTTCGAGAAAAAATATATGATTTATTGAGAAATCATTTGGCTAATTAAATATATAGGGTAAATTTATCATACTTTTAGTGTAATATATTAGGATCGCTTTCATTCAGTTCTAATTCAAATGATCTTCAAAGCATTGAATCTAATGGAAAAATTCAGATTTATTGATGATCCGGTTATTAAAAATACAACTCTGCAAACTAGGAAGATTCAACAAAGATTGCAAAAATAGTGAAAATTGGTTCGACGATAATTTACTTTCGATAAAATTTGAAAAAACAAAATATATTCCTATCGTCCATCATAAAAATTCATTACCAAATTCAGGACCACAATCCATAATGCTTTTCAATGCAAAGTTAAAAAAAAAGGATTTCGATTTTTCATTCATTTTTCTACCTATTTTCAGCCAACATTCGCCTCACCCAGAGCCTGGAGTTCCAATGAATTCGGAACTTCTGGAGCATTAGGCAACACCGGTATGTTGTCACTCGTCAATACCGTAAAAGTGTCGTAGATCGCGTTATGTCGATGGATATAGGCTGATACCGCTTATGCCAGACAAGCAAGCAAGACAAGCAAGGGTATCGAGCGCTGCGCGGCAGGCCCAGCACCTGGAGTCCGGAATCTGTATGTCCATCACGTGACTCAGTAGATTAAGGTCTTGCAGACACTGGCAGGTCATAATAAACCCCTCAGTTTCTGACTTTAGCCCACTCGACCTATAAAAAGTAATGGTCAAATGCTTTGATGAGCTGAGGTCTTCAAACTTGTTGAAGAAGACCCCATGCATCGGCGTATTCTTGTTTATCCGATTTTGTTTGAACGTTTTGCTGAACGGGTTCCAATTTGGTGACAAAACTGTGATTATTTCGTTGAGTATCAAAAACTAGAACAAGATTAGCTGCCTTAACGTGAAATGCTTCAAGTCCTGTTCTCCAATAGTCGTGGACCATGCAGAGAAAAAAATTCGTACTCCTGATGGCTTTACAGGGTCCATCCAGTACCATTATGTCATGTACGCACTCCATACTCAAAAGTCCACGGTGTTACTGTTGTCAAGGAAGTTCTATTCTTACTATTATATTATTATTACTATTTAGTGAGTTTTGCATTATCACAAATGCCGTTATAATGACAGCCTTCAATGGCATACGAGTATTAGCGCAGGTGTCATCAACGTATCTTTGGTTTACTGGCGTGATGAGCCATACGGCCCACGTGACTGAATAATAGAATTGCTATTAATTGAATTGAAATAATAAATCGTCTAAAACAAAAATGTACAACAGGAAAAAGCACACTTTTCCATTAGTTCTTTCATGTTCGGGAAAATATTTTTTTGAAATAAACTCGATATACTTTGTTGTTATACAGGGTGTTTATCCTAACAGTTCCATTGGTACCAATCAACAATATTTCGATAACACGCGACTGCAGGATGTACCATTGGTTACACGTTTATGCACGATGGTGCACCAGCACATTTTAGCATATTAGCTCGAGAATGTTAAACAGTAACATACGGAGGTCGCTGGATTGGTCGAGGTGGACCTCACTTATGGCCTGCTCGATCACCAGACTTAAATCCCCTGGATTATTTTCTATGGAAGCCACCATGTCATCAGTTTATACTACTACAGTGGAAAAAAAATAAAAAAATAAGAGATTCTCATTCTACAGAGCTGCCTCCTAGACCTTCACACTTGAATACCCCCACAGGCAATACTCTAACCGTGGAAGATATGGAAGATTTGAGAAATCGGATAATTGCTGGATATAACGCAATCAGAAACGATCCTGGTGTTTTTGAAAGAATTCGGGAGTCGATGAGAAGAATATTGGATTCTTGCATCAGAGTGGGGGGTAGTCATTTTCAACAGTTATTGTAGATTAAGAAACATTACATGTAATTTTTCGTAATACATTGTTGTTGTCGAAACAAAGTGTCCTATCAAAAATCATCAAAGGACGAAATATCCTTAGGATAGTCCAATAATAGGGGAGCCCAAGCGGGGATTTCGAGATTTACTAAAGCGCGGCAGATTAATATACAGGGGGATACTTTGTACCCGGTTAAGTACCTCCATCAAATATGATCCCCATATATAAGGCCGCCTGTGAGGGATAAAGGATCAGATTAGTAACAGAAATTGATCATCAGAAATCCTCGAACGCGTCAGATTCTGGTAGGGTGAGTTAATTACCTGCTAAAAAGTGTATATTCCAGTAATCTGACAATTTGTGAGTGACGTAAAGAAAGGGGAGGACAGCAAAGTTGTAAAAAATAACGTCATTTCGACATTCTCGAGCGTAGCTAATTTTTTTTTTTTCATAATGTACAACAGGGAAAAGCACACTATTCCTTTAGTTCTTTCATGTTCGGGAAAATATTTTTTTTTAAATAAACTTGATTTACTTTGTTGTTATACAAGGTGTTTATCCTAACAGTTCTGTTGGTACCAATCAACAATATTTCGACTACAAACGGCTGCAGGATGTACCATTGGTTACAAGAAATGCAATGTGGTTTATGCACGATGGTGCACCAGCACATTTTAGCATATTGGCTCAAGAATGTTAAACAATAACATACGGAGATCGCTGGATTGGTAGAGGTGGACCTCACTTATGGCCTGCTCGATCACCAGATCACCTGGATTATTTTCTATGGGAGCCACCAAGTCATCAGTTTATACTACTATAGTGGAAGATGTGGAAGATTTGAGAAATCGGATAATTGCTGGGTGTAACGCAATCAGAAACGATCCTGGTTTTTTTGAAAGAATTCGGGAGTCGATGAGAAGAAGATTTGATTGTTGCATCAGAGTGAGGGGGTAGTTATTTTCAACAGTTCTTGTAGATTGAGAAACATTACATGTAATTTTTGGTAATAAATTGTTATTGTCGAAACAAAGTGCCCTATCAAAAATCATCAAAGGACGAAATATCCTTAGGATAGTCCAAGGAATAGTTCCTTAAATTTTTGCTGGATGTTCAATAAACACCATATATATCTCTGATGGATTTTAGTCAAGGGGTAGCTCCAAATACCAGAGTGAAAAATGATTTTTTTACTGTTTCTTCTTTACAGAACTGCCACCTTGCTCCGAGTTGGATGCCTCGACTGGAACGCATAGTAGAAGCCATTTCACCGGACGTCGTCCACAGAGATTTCAGAATTTGGTTAACCTCAACCCCCTCCCCACACTTTCCAGTTTCCATCCTCCAAAACGGCAGCAAGATGACCATAGAGCCCCCTTCCGGTTTGAAGGCAAACATGTTGCGAGCTTACAGAAACGAAGTGTCTGACTTGACCGATTTCATGCAATCAGAACATCCGAAAGCGGCAAAATTCAAGTTGCTGGTCTTCTCGCTATGTCTTTTTCACGGGATACTTTTGGAAAGGAGGAAGTTTGGACCATTGGGATTCAACATTCCCTATGAGTTCACAGACGGAGATTTGAAAATTTGCATATCGCAGCTGCATATGTTCCTGTTGGAGTACGAGGAGATACCGTTCAAAGTTTTGACTTACACTGCAGGCCACATTAACTATGGAGGGAGGGTGACTGATGATTGGGATAGGAGGTGTTTGATGAATATTCTGGCGGATTACTATAAAATCGAAGTGGTCGATGAAAAATACGTTTTCGATAAGGACGGTTACTATCATCAGGTATGAACAATCGTTTACATAGACTTAGAAAAGCACAACATAGTAGTACATACATGAAAAACCGTGACAGTGTCTGGCATTTTGGGAAAACACAGCTTTTTGCTTTCCATTCCTTCAGCGTCATACAAAAGTGTCATATTCTATTGTGAATTGGATTTTTGCGTTAAGGAAGTTCAGATATGATAGACATTCTTTTAGTTTCTATTCACCGGGCTGCCATATTACATACCGATGGTTTAGCGCACACATGTGTTAAGTTACAATCTGGTGATTTTCCAGAATTTGTAATTTACCATAATCAATAACAAAAATCGGCTACTGCACACACTTCTCTATCGTTAATGATATTGATTTTTTTAAGCTGAGTTTTCGATTAAGTAACAAAGCAAATAACAACTTTGTTTTAGATATTCAGTGGGCAAGTGATTAGAAAAATTAACAATTAAATAATTATTTGAGTCACTTAACACATTTGAAAAGGTACTTACCTCATTTGTGTGCTTACTTGAAACAAATGCCCTACTTGATACTTAACTATTCAAATACTTAACTTAACTATTCAAAATATTCTTGTCGTAATCTTTCCATTTGGTAGTTCTTGTTTGTTAATTTCTGAGAAGAAATTTTCGGATAGATCATACTTATCCTGAATAATCCTTGGTTTGCTCTTCTGGACTCGAATTCATTTAATATGCAGCCAGTTAACTTTTTCTTTTTGGGTATTAACTTTAACATTGAATACATTTCCTAAAATAACTCTTTTAATATTAACAAAATCTGTGAATGCCATCGTCGTCGCTTTATATGGTGACGGTTTAATCCTGGCTTCTGCTATCAACAGGGCCCATTCTCTTGTAGTATAAACTTTCATATGTTTTCTCTTCCGTTCAATCGTTGCGTGCAAATAAGAATAACCCGCTTCCATAATTTCAAATCAATCGTTTCCAAATTGTGCTTTCTCATGACAGCATACAACATTACTGCAGTTACGAACTGATTACGGTTCTGTCCTTTTTTTTTCCCAACACCAAATCGTTATTTTTAACACTTTGACACGTGTTTCGACCACCAAGTGATGATCTTCAAGAGGAAGATAAAACTGGAAACTTCGCGAAACTAAAGATATTTATGCTATACAGATATATCATACAGGTAAACCATACAGGTATACCACCCATACAGGTATACCACCCTAAATTAATTTTACAAGCCTTATCTATTATTTTACAATTTACCACATTACAATTACCACATTTGGGCACAACAAAGATATATCAACTACATACTCAGAGACGCACTTAACACAGTTTACCCCAGAAGTGTACTCAACACATCTGTGCGCTGAACCATCGATATATACAGTGCATTTGTTTAATGTCCCTCCTCCCTTTTATTTTTTGAACGAGTTAACTCAAAAAATTGAAATTTGGGATAATGAAATTAATGCATGAATACTTTATTTTGAAGTGAAATTGACAGATGAAACTTTCAAGATGGCGACTGGGCGCCATCGGGGAAAAAATTCAAAGGAAGGGGGGGCCTTGTAACACATTTTTTGAAGATCCTGACAAATGCTTCACAACCCTAGAATATAATGTCAATATTTTCAACTACTACAAAATGGCAGAGCTTTCAATAATTGCCTGAATACATTGTCATTCAACTACATAATATTAGGTAATAAGCTTCAGGTCAGTTCAGAAGATGGTCGAAATGGTTGCCTTGAACTTCTCGACATATGAACAGCCTATCCGATATTTCACGCCGAACATTTTTGAACACAGTAACGTCAATATCTCTACAAATATTTATTATTCTCTACCGTATATCCAATATTGAAGCAGGCTCAGTTTCGTACACCTTTTGCTTCGAATAGCCTCATTAAAAAATTCCAAAGATGTCAAATCTGGCGAGCGGGCTGACCATTCTGTAGGACCTCGACGGCCAATCCTATCGACCAAGAAAAGCAGTATCCAAATAGTTTCTTACTTGTCTGGAGTAATGTGGTGGTGCTCCATCTTGTTGGAATACAATATCCATGTCGAATTCATTAGGATTCGCTTCGACGATTTCAGTGATGAGAGGGTCAACAGTAGTTTCCAGCATATTCAAATACAGTTCCCCTGTTGAATTTTGATCAATAAATAGAGGTTCTACAATATGGTTTCCCAATATTCCTGCTCAAACGTTATTTTTTTCTGGATATTGGGTATGTGTTTCCCGGAAAAAGTGAGGGTTGGTGTCACTCCAATAACGGCAATTTTGTCTGTGAACATTGCCGTTTGAAAAAACGGCACTAAAACGTCACTAAAACAAATATTGTGCCTTGCAATGGTTTCAATCATGATTTCGCAGAATTCTGTTCTTTGATCAAGGTCATCTTCAGTTAATTGGTGTACCATTTTGATTTTTCCCAGATGGCGCCCAGTCACCATTTTCAAAGTTTCATCTGTCAGTTTCACTTCAAAATAAAGTGGCTATAGATCAGTGTACATTGGAATAACAAAAAGAAGTATAAGTATCCGGTTCTCTGAACACAAGAGAAATTGTCACCTGAGGCATCCTTGTTATGGCGTGAAAAGACCCAAGTTCCTGTTAGAACTTATCTATTGCCCAAGACTATATGGGGAGGAGATAGAAAATCAAAAATAGAACCAGTGTTCAAGGAAACGAAGAGAAAATGTTTATCAATGAAGTCTGTCTACTTGCGCTCAACTGCGTAAAATGTGGAATAAAACCGGCGACTCAAACCTTGAATGTCCGTGAGGACAACTAGAGTACTTCGTCTATTGTATCATCATCTTTGATATTGTACACTGAAATCGTACACGAAACATCCGACATGAAAACCTGCAGATCTTGGCCTTCAAACCCGGAAAATAATAATAATAAATTTATCAGCCCTTTGCCTCCATTTAGAATGAATGTACCATCAACTTCTCCACCTCATTAACTCAACTTAAAAACTTTTACTGACATTTCTTCATGTTGTAAAGTCATTCAAAATTGCTTCCCAATAATTTATATTACCCACGAAAGTTACCATTACACTTTTTGGGTGAACGTGGAGGAAGTAAGAATATCGGGGTTTGTTTTTATGTACTATTTCGATTCCAGTGGCAGTTTGCCGAAAATGATTGGAGTATTTCTGAATATCTTCCTTCACTGCAAGAAATTTGTACTCGCAACTTCCGAATTTTAAACATTTTATACTCTTTCGGGTGCAGTTGGGAATGAAAATAAATGTAATATTATATGATTATTCAATAGGTGCCGACCACGACGATGTTCATCGACTACATGGAGTACATAAAAACCTTTCCGATAAACGACGACCCGCTACTCTTTGGCATGCATCCAAACGCAGACATAACTTTCGCCCAGTCCCAAACCTACTTATGTTTAGCGACACTTTTGAAACTGCAGCCTAAACAAGTTGGAGGTGCAGCTGCTAGTCAAGAGGAAGTTACAGCCAAATCGGCGAGGACGATATTAGACCAACTGCCGCACTTATTTGATTTGGAATTTATATCCTCCCAGTAAATGTTGACATATTTATAAACTTAAAAAACGTATAAATGCAGTATTGGCAAAACCATCTCGGAGTCAGCATCCTCTATAAATGCAATGAAGGCAACCACGAAAATTCTTGCCGCGAGAGCGCGCTGAGGGGCGTGAGGTTAGTTCTCGTGTTTTTTTCGTTATTTACATATGGATTAAGTGGATTTATTTGAATTACGCGACGAGGAGTTGAAGAATCTATTCAGGAAGGGAGGTTTCAGATCAGCGAAACTAGAGCGGAAGGTACTGCAGCCTAGTCAGACCTGATACCTTATATGTCCTATCTGTATATGTAGAGTAAGGAGGGTGAGTGTAGGCCCACATCACTTAGGCCACATGTGACCCATTGTACATCCACCCGAGGAGTTGTCCTCCATCCTGTCCTTTTCAGAAAGGTGAACAGGTCACTAGGAGACATCTCCTTTATATTGGCAGATGTAGGCCAAGACTCGCCGAACACACACTCTCGTATTGACGATAACTCTGGGCACTCGCTTAGGATATTCCTGACAGTATCATCTTCCTGTTCACACATCCTGCATAAAGGTGTGTCCACTAAGCCCCATATTATGGAGGTGTTTCCTTAGTTGACAGTGGCCAGTCAGAAATCCTCCTGTTAAGCGTAAATTATTCCTGGTCATTCTTCGGCGCCAGCTTCCCAGCTGGGTCCTAAAATTCTTAGTCCAGCCGCTTCCTTGGCTAAAGAGGATTTGTCTAAATCTTGGTGGCACTCTAGTACTAGCCCTGAGGTAACATGTTGTGTGTTCAAGGCTAATATGGCTTCTCTACTATCAGTGCAGATTGTTATGTTTTTGCTAGAAATTCCTTTCCTGGTTATTTCTTTTGTGGCGATTGAGATACCAGGCAGTTCTGTTTGAACCACGCTGGTATGTTTCCCTTCCCCACTCAATCCTTAAACTTACTGATCTGGAGTACACTCCACATCCTGAGCCTTCTTTGGTTTTTAAGCTGTCTGTATATATGCGTATCGTATTTGTAGCAACCTCCTTAACGTACAGGTCCAGAGGGTTCAAACCGGTAATTAAGTCCATTGCCGCGGTTGGTGTTGTTCTCATGGCTCCTGTGATGTTTAAATATCCAATCGCTGTATTTGATATAATTTTTGGATGGCCATTGCTTGTAGAACTTTCGGTCCCCATACAATGGCTCCGTACGTTAACATAGGTCTTATTATTGCAGTGTAGATCCAGGTGACCACATGGGTTGAAAACCCCATGTGCGTCCCACTGTCCTCCGATATTGCTCATAAGCAACATATGCTCTTTTTGCTCTACTCTGTAGGTGAGAGTTCCATGTTAGCTTCCTGTCGAGGGTAGTACCAAAGTATTTCACCTCTTTTAGTTTGCTTTTGAAGATTTAGGAAGGTTTTAAGCCCGTTAAACTTCTTTTCCTAGTGAAAACGACCATCTGTCTTCTTGGGATTCATCGACAGTGAGTGTTACTTACACCATGTTTCTATTATTTTGAGCTCATTCTGCGCTCTATCGCACAGTTGTTCACAAATTTGCTGGTCTGCAAGACAACTATGTCATCCACATATGCAATTGTGTGAAATCCATTATTATTGAGGTGATTATTCAGGGTATCCAGAATTATGTTCTAAAGAATGGGTGAAAGAATCCTCCCTGTGGACATCCTCTTATGACCAGTCCTCTACATTGATATTTATTGTTCTACTAGAGAGCAACTTGAATATCCATTTTTCTACTACCAGAGGTAGATTCCTGGGGTTTAGCTGCTGGGTAATTGTTGGAAAGGTTGTTTAATCAAACGCTCCCTCGATATCTATGAATATACACAGGGTGAATTCTTTGTTGTCCAATGATCTTTCGATTCTGCCAATCACATGGTGAAAAGCCAAATCAGTAGACCTTCCCAGACTATATGCATGCCTTATGTGTCCTAATATAAATGGTTGTGAATGTAATAGGTGTTACCATTTTTTAAATATATAAGAATTAAAAAGAAAGTGTGAGTGGAAGTTTAAGAATATTAAAATACGAGGACCGAAATATTCCGATGAACCAGTTGAAAAATGAAATATTAAAAATATTGTGGAAAATTAATAATATGCGAGCAATAAAAATTAAGATGAAATAATAAAGGTAAAGTTACTTCTTTGCATGATCTACACATCCATGTATAGAGTTACTTATTTTCAAATTGATTACTTCCTTCCTTCCTTTCTTTGGAAGATTCCCTTCCCTCATCCCCTTTTTTTGTATCAAGATGGAATAGTAGAAAGCCAAAAACTTTCTTTCCCAAAAAATATAAACCAGTTATGAAACTTTTCAAAAAATAATATGGAAGTATGATTTGGTAAATTTAAGATGTAAGTCTCTTCAATTATCGGTGTATTACTCAGAATAAGAATCTACCACATTCCACACAATTGTTTAAAGAATATTCATTACTGCCTGATATCAATTTGTATTTGCAATATTTCGTAGCTACGAGGTTTGGCTACAAAATAACAGGACCTTTATTTTCTTTTGCAACTTGCCCCTTACTCCATTCCATATGCTCTCCACTTTTTCATTCTAATTTTCCACTGTTCAAAACAGTGGATGTACCTT